CGAGGGGGTGGGTGAGTGGCCAGCACCACGCCCGGCCGCCTTTGTCTCTCTAGTTAGAAATGTTCACTACACGCAGCTACAGGTACTCATTTGAGGCTGAGTCGACCTAGTGGGGAGGCCACAGGGACCGGTTCAGGTAATCGCTGGTTCGCAGGGCATCCATCAATCAATCTCTACTCTTCTCTATCTCATCTATCGATCTCTACACCCTTCCTTACAATGGTGACACGTGACCGGTTAAGTCTACACAGGGGCCCCCCAGGTGGGGGCTAGGGGGGGGGTCACGTGTCAGGGCCGAGATCCTGCTGGAGGATTCTAGAAGGTGGTCGTCGTGGCTAAGGGCGGAGCCAGCCACGCCACGGAAGATATGAGCCGGTGTAACAGGCCGTAGTAGTTCAAGTTCAAGTTTCATTTACTAAGTATAGCCCTGTGAGCCATTCGGCTCTCAATGAATGCTTTCGAGACCAATATTATTCATAAATAAGTATAACCCGTAAAAACAAAGTTTTTCACTATAAATCCTTTATATGCGTGGCGGCTAGAGTCCTCTCGTCCTCTGGCTTGAGATGGCTGCCACCTATGGGTCAGATGATTGTCTGCAGTATTAAACAATTTGTAATTAAATATTTAATTTGTTTTCCCTAAACAGTGTAAAATTTTGGGAATTTTTTTTCACGAACATTAATTGTCTCGCACAACGAGTCTGTGTGCAAAATGTCAGCTCGATTGGATGACGGGAAGTGGGTTAAAAAATGACCGAAAGGTTTGCACGGTCGTAAGCGCGCAAGCAAGCGAACTTAATATAAAGGATTTTAGAAAGTTTTCTGGGTTAGATCAAGTTATTTATAAATGTGTCGTAAATGTTGTGGTTTCACTCTTCAACACACCGGTGGGCTAAAGTAGTGAACTATTTTGTCTTTTCACCATTGGAACCTCATTTGCCAGTAAAAAATATGATAGTAGTTTTTTTTACCTTTCTATCTGGCAACAAAACTGACACCTTTTTGCAAGGAGTCATGTTTGCATAGACCGCAATACCTGCAGTCATAATGCAAACAAAAAACATAACTCTGATAATGTGCACTGTCCTTGAAATTGATTGGTCCACACCCGAGACAGCTTTCCTTAGAGCCTAGTCTCACGTGGTGTTGGACCAGATGACGCCAAAAGGCGCACAACTCAAAGACAATGCCGTGCTCTCATACTCTGATGGTGCATTGTCTTTGAGTTGTGCGCCTTTTGGCGTCATCTGGTCCAACACCATGTGAGACTAGGCTCTAAGGAATGCTGTCTCGGGTGTGGACCAATCAACTGCAAGGGCAGTGCACAATATCAGAGTTGTGTCTTTTGTTTGTATTATGACTGCAGGTATTGTGGTCTATGCAAACATGACTCCTCGTAAAAAAAAGTGTCAGTTTTGTTGCCAGATAGAAGGGTAAAAAAACCAATTATCATATTTTGTCTTTTGTCAACGTGACACTTTTTTGCTGATTGGCCGTGTCGGGTGGTGGAGGGTTACGACACATTTATAAATAACGCCATCTAAACCCAAAAACGTTGATTATGAATCAATGAATGCGTTGCTTCCAAAGAGTACGTCTGCAACTCAGTTAAACTCACTACATCTACACCAACTCAAGCATCTAGTCCAGGGGTCGGGAACCTTTTTGACTGGGAGAGCCATAAAAGCCAAATATTTCTAAATATATTTCATTGAGAGCCATATAGTATTTTTAACGTATAATACATTAAATATGTCTTACTTTTAATGCGACTTCTGGTGCTGCATGGTTTTGCTGATGGCCTTGTAGTCTGGTTCATACGTGGTGAGGTTGAGCTTCGTGCAGGCGTGACCCGTGAAATGTATCTTCAAAACTAATTTCTGTTTACTTTAAAATGACACACTATTATTAAGCAATATCACAAGTACTTTAAAATCAGTTCCAAACTGATTTTTTTTTTTTTCCAACTCAAAATTGTCTGGGAGCCATTTGCCGTCACCGGAAGCCATAGGTTCCCGACCGCTGACCTAGTACTTCACGTGGCTCCTGTAAATGCTCCTTATCTATGTTGTCTCGTTTGCAGCGTCTTCAAGAAAACCAGCTCCAATGGGAAGGTAAGAGTGGGTGGGTGGGTGAGTGATTGGGTTAGTGAGTAGGTGACTAAGGACAGGGTGTTTGAAACAAGATGGACCCGTCTTCTTGGTTCTTTCGGTAAAGTCACGTAGAAGGGAAATAATAAAATAATGAAAATAAAACATTATAAAATACAATTCTCACGACGTTTCGGCCACAACACAAGCAGCCGTCCTCAGGTGAAGACCAGGTCAGACGCTGTCTCCCCGACAGACCTGGTCTTCACCTGAGGACGGCTGCTTGCGTTGTGGCCGAAACGTCGTGAGAATTGTATTTTATTATGTTTTATTTTCATTATTTTATTACTTCCCTTCTACGTGACTTTACCGAAAGAACCAAGAAGATGAATTCCTGCAGTCACGAAAGCTTTAAATCGAAATTTAAGATGGACCCGATTTGAAATCGCTATATCTCTGCAACCACGAACCGCCCATGAATGCAACTCTTACCACTTGAGAGGGAGGGGCATAGAGAGGGGGAGGGGCTTAGAGAGGGAGGGGCGTAGAGAGGGTGGGGCTTAGAGTGGGAGGGGCGTAGAGAGAGTTTCAAATGATGACCGCTGGATGCCTCTCCCAGCGTACAGACAGCCCCTAGCCTCAGTCATTCGCAAGACATCACACCGCCTCAACGTTGGATAGGTGGCACGGGACCCCAAGACTTGGCGCTACACTCTTGGCCCCCAGGATCACCCCCAGACATCATCACACCCTGCGAGTTTTTCTCGTGCGGATACGCCAAAGACCCGTGGTGTCTTTGTGCCACCGTTAGCGAATAATCTGGGATTACTTAAATTTCGATTTAAAGCTTTAGTGACTGCAGGGATTCATCTTCTTGGTTCTTTCGGCAAAGTCGTCACGTAGGAAGGAAATAATAAAATAATAAAAATACAACTAAATACAATAATAAAACATAATAAAATACAATTCTCAAACATAATAAAATACAATTGTGAAAATGGTATTATATTTCGATTTAAAACTTTCGTGACTGCAGGGATTCATCTTCTTGGTTCTTTCAGTAAAGTCGCGTAGAATGGATATAATAAAATAATAAAAATAAAACATAATAAAATAATTCTCACGACGTTTCGGCCACAACGCAAGCAGCCGTCCTCAGGTGCAGAACAGGTCTGTCTATTATTTTATTATTTCCATTCTACGTGACTTTACCGAAAGAACCAAGAAGATGAATCTGGATGACCTCACAGACAGAATCACGGCAGCGGTGACTTCAGTGGTAGAAGACACTTTGAGAGGCGTTTGGGACGAATTCAACTATTGTCTCGATTCTAGATTTGAAGCTTTCGTGACTGCAAGGATTCATACTCTTAGATCTTTCGGTAAAGTCACGTAGGTAAAAAATGAAATTAATATTAATACAAATAAAATTATAATTTTTCGATTTAAAGCTTTCGTGACTGCAGGGATTCATCTTCTTGGTTCTTTCGGTAAAGTCACGTAGAAGGGAAGTAATAAAATAATAAAAATATAATTTTATGTTTTATTTTTATTATTTTATTACTTCCCTTCTACGTGACTTTACCGAAAGAACCAAGAAGAAAAATAATAATTATTTTATTTTATTTTTATTAATTTTTCTTATTTTATTTTTATTAATTTAAATTTCATTTTTTACCTACGTGACTTTACCGAAAGAACTAAGAGTATATATCGTCTCGATGTTATCCGTACAGCAGGTGGAGGGCACATAGAGCATTTATAAAGCGGTCAGTAAAACTTCATAACTCATTAAACCGTTTGTAACTTTTGTGTAATTGTAACGTGTTGCCATCGTGAAATATACTGCTTTGAAATTGGGTCCATAATTTTTAAACGCCCTGTATATAGGTGAGTTAGTGGATGAGTGAGGGGATGTGTTAGATAGTGGGTGAGTGAGTGTATGGATGATTGAGTGCATGTAAGTGCATGGATGGGTGAGTGGGTGAGTGAGTAGATGAGTGAATGGATGAGTGAGTGAGTGGGTATGTGTCTGGGTCAGTGGATGAGTGAGTGAACAGATGAGTTTGTGGGTGAGTGAGTGGATGAGTGAGTGAGCAGATGAGTGATTGGGTAAGTCGGTGGATGAGTGAGTGAGTGTGTGGATAAGCGAGTGGATGAGTGAGTGAGTAGATGAGTGAGTGTGTGAGTGAGTGGATGAGTGAGCAGATGAGTGATTGGGTGAGTTAGTGGATGAGTGAGTGTGTGGATGATTGAGTGCATGTGAGTGCATGGATAGTTAAGTGAGTGAGTAGATGAGTGAATGGATGAGTGAGTGAGTGGGTATGTGATTGGATCAGTGGATGAGTGAGTAAACAGATGAGTTTGTGGGTGAGTGAGTGGATGAGTGAGTGAGCAGATGAATGATTGGGTAAGTCAGTGGATGAGTGAGTGAGTGAGTGGATAAGCGAGTGGATGAGTCAGTGAGTAGATTAGTGAATGGATGAGTGAGTGTGTGGGTGATTGAGTGCATGTAAGTGCATGGATGGGTGAGTGAGTGAGTGAGTAGATGAGTGAATGTATGAGTGAGTGAGTGGGTATGTGTTTGGGTCAGTGGATGAGTGAGTAGACAGATGAGTTTGTGGGTAAGTCGGTGGATGAGTGAGTGAGTGAGTGGATAAGCGAGTGGATGAGTGAGTGAGTGGATGAGTGAGTGTGTGAGTGAGTGGATGAGTGAGCAGACGAGTAATTGGGTGAGTTAGTGGATGAGTGAGGGGATGTTTTAGAGAGTGGATGAGTGAGTGTGTGGATGATTGAGTGCATGTGAGTGCATGGATAGTTGAGTGAGTGAGTGGATGAGTGAGTGAGTAGATGAGTGAGTGTGTGAGTGAGTGGATGAGTGAGTGAGTGAGTGGGTGAATGAATGGATGAGTGAGTGAGTAGATGAGTGAGTGTGTGAGTGAGTGGATGAGTGAGGGGATGTGTTAGAGAGTGGGTGGGTGAGTGTGTGGATGATTGAGTGCATGTAAGTGCATGGATGGGTGAGTGGGTGAGTGAGTAGATGAGTGAATGTATGAGTGAGTGAGTGGGTATGTGATTAGATCAGTGGATGAGTGAGTAAACAGATAAGTTTGTGGGTGAGTGAGTGGATGAGTGAGTGAGCAGATGAGTGATTGGGTAAGTCGGTGGATGAGTGAGTGAGTGAGTGTGTGGATAAGCGAGTGGATGAGTCAGTGAGTAGATGAGTGAATGGATGAGTGAGTGAGTGGGTATGTGATTGGATCAGTGGATGAGTGAGTAAACAGATGAGTTTGTGGGTGAGTGAGTGGATGAGTGAGTGAGCAGATGAGTGATTGGGTAAGTCGGTGGATGAGTGAGTGAGTGAGTGTGTGGATAAGCGAGTGGATGAGTCAGTGAGTAGATGAGTGAATGGATGAGTGAGTGAGTGGGTATGTGATTGGGTCAGTGGATGAGTGAGTGAACAGATACGTTTGTGGGTGAGTGAGTGGATGAGTGAGTGGGCAGATGACTGATTGGGTAAGTCAGTAGATGAGTGAGTGAGTGAGTGTGTGGATAAACGAGTGGATGAGTGAGTGTGTGAGTGAGTGGATGAGTGAGTGAGTAGATGCGTGAGTAAGTGTGTGAGTGAGTGGATGAGTGAGTGAGTGGATGAGTGAGTGAGTAGATGAGTGAGTGAGTGGATGAGTGAGTGTGTGAGTGAGTGGATGAGTGAGTGAGTAGATGAGTGACCGGGTGAGTGAGTGGATGAGTGAGTGTGTGGGTGAGTGAGTGTGTGGATGATTGAGTGCATGTAAGTGCATGGATGGGTGAGTGGGTGAGTGAGTAGATGAGTGAATGTATGAGTGAGTGAGTGGGTATGTGATTGCGTCAGTGGATGAGCGAGTGAACAGATGAGTTTGTGGGTGAGTGAGTGGATGAGTGAGTGAGCAGATGAGTGATTGGGTAAGTCAGTGGATGAGTGAGTGAGTGAGTGTGTGGATAAACGAGTGGATGAGTCAGTGAGTAGATGAGTGAGTTTGTGAGTGAGTTGATGAGTGAGTGAGTGGGTGAGTGAGTGGGTGAGTGAGTGGATGAGTGAGTGGGTGAGTGGGTGGGTGTGTGGGTAAGTGAGTGGATGAGTGAGTGAGTAGATGAGTGACCGGGTGAGTGAGTGGATGAGTGAGTGAGTGAGTGGGTGAGTGAGTGAGTGTGTGGATGAGTGAGTGAGTGGGTGAGTGGGTGAGTGAGTGAGTGGATGAGTGAGTAGATGAGTGAGTGAGTAGATGAGTGAGTGGGTGAGTGAGTGGGTGAGTGAGTGGATGAGTGAGTGGGTGAGTGAGTGGGTGAGTGAGTGGATGAGTGAGTGGGTGAGTGGGTGGGTGTGTGGGTAAGTGAGTGGATGAGTGAGTGAGTAGATGAGTGACCGGGTGAGTGAGTGGATGAGTGAGTGAGTGAGTGTGTGAGTGAGTGAGTGTGTGGATGAGTGAGTGAGTGGGTGAGTGGGTGAGTGAGTGAGTGAGTGGATGAGTGAGTAGATGAGTGAGTGAGTAGATGAGTGAGTGGGTGAGTGAGTGTGTGAGTGAGTGGATGAGTGAGCAGATGAGTGATTGGGTGAGTGAGTGGATGAGTGAGTGAGTGGGTTCGTGAGTGGGTGCGTGAGTGAGTGGGTGAGTGGATGAGTGAGTGGATGAGTGAGTGAGTGGGTGAGTGAGTGACTGAGTGAGTGACTGAGTGGGTGAGTGGGTGACTGAGTGGGTGAGTGAGTGGATGAGTGAGTGAGTGGGTGAGTGAGTGACTGAGTGAGTGAGTGAGTGGGTGAGTGGATGAGTGAGTGGATGAGTGAGTGAGTGAGTGTGTGAGTGAGTGAGTGTCTGGTGGTATACCAAATGCTCACCACTGATGGTTCTGTGTGCCGGGCTCTACTCCATGGTGGACTCCGTGGTGGACTGCGTGGTGGACTACATGGTGGACTCAGGTGACAGTCTACATGGAAAAACGAGACTTTATCGACCATCTGGACCACGTGGATCTGGTTGGTAAGTAATCATCATCATCAGCATCATCAGCAGCATCAGCAACATCATCAGCATCGTCATCATCATTAGCATCATCATGAGCATCATCATCAGCATCAACATCAGCATCTTTATCATCATCAGCATCATCATCAGCATCGTCATCATCATCGTCATCATCATCAGCATCATCATCAGCATCATCAGCAACATCAGCTTCATCATGAGCATCATCATCGTCATCATCAGCATCATCAGCATCATCAACAGCAGTAACATCATCAGCATCATCATGAGCATCATCGTCAGCATCATCAGTGGCATCAACATCAGCATTGGCATCATCAGGAGCATCATCATCACCATCAGTAACATCATCAGCATCATCAGCAGTAGCATACTAATCAGCTTCGCTTGGCACAGTAGGGGGGTACAGCTTGTGGTGCATCTACCAGTCACCTCAGTCGGCCAACCCGTGGCACCTGCTGGGTCTGGCACGTGACCTCCTCCTGCACCTAGCCTGGCACAGTAGGGGGCACAGGTGGTGCATCTACTGGTCATCTCGGTCGGCAAACCCATGGCACCTGCCGGGTCTGTCACGTGACCTCCTCGTGCACCTAGCCTGGCACAGTAGGGGGTACAGCTGGTGGTGCATCTACCGGTCATCTCGGTCGGTCAACCCATGGCACCTGCCGGGTCTGTCCCGTGACCTCCTCCTGCACCTAGCCTGGCACAGTAGGGGGTACAGCTGGTGGTGCATCTACAGGTCATCTCAGTCGGTCAACCCGTGGCACCTGCCGGGTCTGTCACGTGACCTCCTCCTGCACCTAGCCTGGCACAGTAGGGGGTACAGCTGGTGGTGCATCTACTGGTCATCTCGGTCGGCAAACCCGTGGCACCTGCCGGGTCTGTCACGTGACCTCCTCCTGCACCTAGCCTGGCACAGTAGGGGGTACAGCTGGTGGTGCATCTACTGGTCATCTCGGTCGGCAAACCCGTGGCACCTGCCGGGTCTGTCACGTGACCTCCTCCTGCACCTAGCCTGGCACAGTAGGGGGTACAGCTGGTGGTGCATCTACTGGTCATCTCGGTCGGCAAACCCGTGGCACCTGCCGGGTCTGTCACGTGACCTCCCTCCTGCACCTAGCCTGGCACGGGCGCCGTTGTGACGTCACCGCCACTTAATGGCGAATGGCGGGTGTTGGTATCGGAGTGGGGAGCGGTGGGTGTAGTGGTTAGCGCTACCTTCACAGGTGCTGATGCCACTCGCTACTCACAGCACTTGCCCCTACAGCCTGTTAGAGGCTACACGGGGGACCTTTATCTGTGTCTCTGTGCGTCTCACAGACGGAGTTGTGTACGTGGACCCGGCTTACATCAAAGGCCGCAAAGGTAACGGGAGAAAGGGGGGGACGGGGCGGGTGGGTTTGAAATAAAGGGACCGTCCCTAAATGACGTCACGCGGTTTGGGACCTAATTTTAACCCCCTCCCCCCCCACCTAAAATATGACGTCACAAAGCTCTGCCCCCACCCCTCAAATATGACGTCACAAAGCTCTGCCCCCACCCCCACCCCTCAAATATGACGTCACAAAGCTCTGCCCCTTCCCCCACCCCTCAAATATGACGTCACAAAGCTCTGTCCCTTCCCCCCCACCTCAAATATGACGTCACAAAGCTCTGCCCCCACCCCCACCCCTCAAATATGACGTCACAAAGCTCTGCCCCTTCCCCCCCCACCTCAAATATGACGTCACAAAGCTCTGCCCCCACCCCCACCCCTCAAATATGACGTCACACAGCTCTGCCCCCACCCCCACCCCTCAAATATGACGTCACAAACCTCTGCCCCTTCCCCCAACCCTCAAATATGACGTCACAAAGCTCTGCCCCCACCTCCACCCCTCAAATATGACGTCACAAAGCTCTGCCCCTTCCCCCCCACCTCAAATATGACGTCACAAAGCTCTGCCCCGTCCCCCACCCCTAAAATATGACGTCACAAAGCTCTACCCCCACCCCTCAAATATGACGTCACAAGCTCTGCCCCCACCCCCACCCCTCAAATATGACGTCACAAGCTCTGCCCCCACCCCCACCCCTCAAATATGACGTCACAAAGCTCTGCCCCCACCCCCACCCCTCAAATATGCTGTTGTTGTTGTTGAGGCCGTGAGTGTTGTTGTTGTTGCTGTTGTTGTTGTGGCCGTGAGTGTTGTTGTTGTTGCTGTTGTTGTTGTGGCCGTGAGTGTTGTTGTTGTTGTTGTTTTGGCCGTGAATGTTGTTGCTGTTGTTGTTGTTGTGGCCGTGAGTGTTGTTGTTGTTGTTGTTGTGGCCGTGAATGTTGTTGTTGTTGTTGTGGCCGTGAATGTTGTTGTTGTTGTTGTTGTTGTTTTGGCCGTGAATGTTGTTGCTGTTGTTGTTGTTTTGGCCGTGAATGTTGTTGTTGTTGTTGTTGTGGCCGTGAATGTTGTGCTGAGTGGTGGTTATTGTTGTTGTTGTTGTTGTGGCCGTGAATGTTGTCCTGAGTGGTGGTTATTGTTGTTGTTGTTGTTGTGGCCGTGACTGTTGTGCTGAGTGGTGGTTATTGTTGTTGTTGTTGTTGCTATTGCCGGCGGCTGTTGCCGTGTCCATTGCCGTGGCCATTGTTGTGGCTATTGTTGTGGCCATTGTTGTGACTATTGTTGTGGCTATTGTTGTGGTCATTGTTGTGGCCATTGTTGTGGCTATTGTTGTGGCTATTGTTGTGGCTATTGTTGTGGTCATTGTTGTGGCTATTGTTGTGGCTATTGTTGTGGCTATTGTTGTGGCCATTGTTGTGGCTATTGTTGTGGCTATTGTTGTGGTCATTGTTGTGGCCATTGTTGTGGCTATTGTTGTGGCTATTGTTGTGGCTATTGTTGTGGTCATTGTTGTGGCTATTGTTGTGGCTATTGTTGTGGATATTGTTGTGGCCATTGTTGTGGCTATTGTTGTGGCTATTGTTGTGGTCATTGTTGTGTCCATTGTTGTGGCTATTGTTGTGGCTATTGTTGTGGCTATTGTTGTGGCTATTGTTGTGGCCATTGTTGTGGCTATTGTTGTGGCTATTGTTGTGGTCATTGTTGTGGCTATTGTTGTGGCTATTGTTGTGGCCATTGTTGTGGCTATTGTTGTGTCCATTGTTGTGTCCATTGTTGTGGCTATTGTTGTGGCTATTGTTGTGGCTATTGTTGTGGCTATTGTTGTGGCTATTGTTGTGGTCATTGTTGTGGCCATTGTTGTGGCTATTGTTGTGGTCATTGTTGTGGCTATTGTTGTGGCTATTGTTGTGGCTATTGTTGTGGCTATTGCCGCCGCCATTGTTGCCGCCATTGTTGCACCATTATCGCGGCAATTTTCGCAGCCATTGTCATGGTTATTGCCGTGCCCCTGATCGTCTATCCCCGCCACCGCCACTGCCGCCGCCATCGCCATCGCCACCGCCATCACCATCGCCATCGCCGCCGGCTACCGCTCCAGTGTACGTGTCCCTGACGTGCGCCTTCCGCTACGGCCGAGACGACATGGAGGTGATCGGCATCCCGTTCCGGCGCGACATCCACGTGACCCACCGGCAGCTCTACCCGCCGTGCCAGGGCCCGCCCGCCACGGCCGCCACCGCCAGCTCCCTGCAGGAGCGCCTCCTGCACAAGTTGGGCAGCACGGCCTACGCCTTCAGCTTCAGCGTGAGTGGGGGGCCCCGTGGGGGGGGCCCCGTGGGGGGTGCCACACACCGCCGCGGTCGGATGACGTGGTCGACGCGGTGGACTAACGTGGTGGACTAACGCAGTGGACTTTTATTGTGAACTAACGCAGTGAACTACCATCGTGAACCACCACAGTAGACTTCCATCTTGAACTAAAGCGGTGGACTAATGCGGTGGACTAACGCACCACATAGAGAGAGATCGACCCCGCACTTTCCCTTACATCTCTCCAGGCTACCTGGGGCACCTTTATCTGTGTGTCCGTCCCCAACCGCCTTTGTGAGAAGGCCGTGAGTCACCGTTTGTCACTCATTTCCCAACGTCTTGTCTCTTCTCACAATTCAAGTTCCTAGAATCAACCCACCCGCGCCTGCAACGTAGCTTCATCCCAGAGGTCGCAATCGGGTACCCGATACCCGTACCCTACCCGTACCCGGCCGGGTACGGGTAGGGTACGGGTAGGGTACGGGTACGACTGGGTACGGGTAGCCGTTTGCGACCCTGGTGCGGCCGGGTACGGGTAGGCCGTGAGTCACTGGTGAGTAACTGTTTGTCACTCATTTCAGGTACGGTACGGGTAGGGTACGGGTAGGAAACGGGTACCCGTACCCAGCCGGGTACGGGTACGGGTAGACCGTGAGTCACTGGTGAGTCACCATTTGCCACTCATTTCGGCTAGGGTATGGGTAGGGAACGGGTACCCGTACCCGGCCGGGTACAGGTACGGGTAAGGAATCAAAACCCGTTTGCGACCTCTGGTGAGTGGGGGCCCCGTGGGGGTGCCACACGCCGCGGTCGGCTGACGTGGTCGACGTGGTGGACTAACGCGGTGAAATACTATCGTGGACTAACGCGGTGGACTCACGCGGTGGACTAACGCAGTGAACTACCATCGTGAACCACCACAGTAGACTTCCATCTTGAACTAAAGCGGTGGACTAACGCGGTGAACTAAAGCAGTGGACTTCCATCTTGAACTAAGGCGGTGGACTAATGCACCACATAGAGAGAGGTCGACCCCGCACTTTCCCTTACAGCCCTCGAGGCTACCTGGGGCACCTTTATCTGTCTCCCCGACAGACCTGGTCTTCACTTGAGGACGGCTGCTTGCGTTGTGGCCGAAACGTCGTGAGAATTGTATTTTATTATGTTTTATTTTTATTATTTTATTACTTCCCTTCTACGTGGTGACTTTACTGAAAGAACCAAGAAGATGTGTGTCTGTTCCCAACCGTCTTTGTCTTCCCCCCCTCCCTCCCTCCACCCAACTCACCCCCCTCCCCCCCTCTCCCCCCCTCCCCCCACTCTCTCCCCCCCCTCCCCTCCCCTCCCCCCACAGATGCCCCAGAACTTGCCCTGCTCGGTGACCATGCAGCCGGCTCCCTGCGACAAGGGCAAGGTGAGTGGGGGGGGGGGGCCCTGCCCACTCCACTGCTGGGTGGGGGGGAGGGGGGGGGGGTGGAGGAGGAGGGGGGAGGGGTGGAGCAGGAGGAGGGGGGGGAAGGAGGGAGCGGTGGGGGAGGAGAGGGGGGAGTAGAGAAGGAGGGAGGGGTGGAGGAGGAAGCGACGAGGGGGGGGGAAGGAGGAGGGGGAGGGAGTGGGGGTGGGAATGGGGGAGGGGGTAGGGGAGTAGAGGAGGGTGGTGGGAGAGGGGGGGTGGAGGAGGGGGGGAGGGGTGGGGGGAGTGGGGGAGAGGTGGGGGAGGGGGGGGGTCTGCCCCGTGACCTCCTGCCAGCGGGCGTTCGACACTTCACGTGGCCTCAAGGTGCACTTGGCCTGGCACAAGCGTCGTGGTGACGTGACCGCCACTTAGTGGCGAATGGCGGTTGTTGTTGTGTATGTATGTGTGTATGTGTGTTGTGTGTATGTATGTATGTGTTTGTATGTGTGTATGTGTGTGTGTGTATGTGTGTGTATGTATGTGTGTGTATGTGTGTGGGGAGCGGTAGTGTAGCGGTTAGCGCGCTGCGCTATGAACCTGGTGACCCCGGTTCGATCCCCGCTCACGGCCAACACCAGTGACGATTATCTGAACCGGTCCTGGGCCTCCCCTAGGTCGACTCAGCCTCAAATGAGTACCTGGTTCGGTGTGTAAATATCGCCACTGGGGAGACAAAGGCGATCGGGCGTGGTGCTGGCCACCCACCCCCTCGTGTGCCGTTCCGGCCTTCATAGGTGCTCGCTAACAGCACTTGCCCCTACAGCCTGTTAGAGGCTACACGGGGGGCCTTTGTCTGAGCTATGAGCTGCTGCTACTGGCTAACAGCACTTGCCCCTATAGCCTGTTAGAGGCTACACGGGGGGCCTTTGTCTGTGCCTGCTGCTGCTGCTAGCTAACAGCACTTGCCTCAATGGTTCTTAGTATTGAAGGCTACCTGGGGGTCCTTTATCTTTGGCTGCTGCAGTCCTGCGGAGTGGACTTCGAGGTGAAGGCGTTCTGCTGCGAGAAACTCGACGAAGACATCAAGAAAAAGTGAGAGGGGGAGGGGGGAGAAGGGGGGAGGGGGGGAGGGGGAGGGGGGAGAGACAAAGGCGGCCGGGCGGGGAGGTGCCCTAACTTCTTACAGATCGATTCAGACACCTATTGGTCAACCCCGTGGTGCCCCTTTTAAATCTTCAACGTTCAAGGGGAGAGAATTTAACATTGAACAAGTCTGTGGGATACTTTAACATTGAAGTCTATGGGAGACTTTAACATTGAAGTCTATGGGAGACTTTAACATTGAAGTCTATGGGAGAATTTAAGATTGGAGTCTATGGCGAGATTTCGATTTAAAGCTTTCGTGACTGTAGGGATTCATCTTCTTGGTTCTTTCGATAAAGTCACGTAGAATGGAAAAAATGTTGATGTTGATGATGTTGATGATGTTGATGATGATGATGTTGATTATGTTGATGATGTTGATGATGTTGATGATGATGATGTTGATGATGATGTTGATGATGTTGATGATGTTGATGTTGATGATGATGTTGATGATGATGTTGATTATTATGATGTTGATGATGATGTTTATGATGCTGTTAATGTTGATGATGATGTTGATGATGTTGATGATGATGTTGATGATAATGCTGCTGATGTTGATAATGATGTTGATGATGTTGATGATGTTAATGATGATAATGCTGCTGATGATGATGATGTTGATGTTGATGATGTTGATGTTAATGATGTTGATGATGATGTTGATAATGTTGATGTTGTGTGTAGACACTCGGTGAGTCTGCTGATCAGGAAGGTTCAGTTCGCCCCGGAGAAGCCTGGAGTGATTCCATCCGGGGTCGCGAACGTGGACTCTGAAGTCACCATGAACGCCTCGCTCGACAAGGAGGTGACCCCCTCACTCACCTACTCACTCACCTACTCACCTACTCACTCACCTACTCACTCACCTACTCACCTAGACACTCACCTAGACACTCACCTACACACTCACCTACTCACTGACCTACACACTCACCTACACACTCACCTACACACTCACCTACTCACTCACCTACTCACCTAGACACTCACCTACTCACTCACTCACCTACTCACCTACTCACTCACCTACTCACCTACTCACTCACCTACTCACCTACTCACCTACTCACTCACTCACCTACTCACCTACTCACTCACCTACTCACCTAGACACTCACCTACTAACTCACCTACTCACCTACACACTCACCTACTCACTCACCTACTAACTCACCTACTCACTCACCTACTCACTCACCTACTCACTCACCTACTCACTCACCTACTCACCTACTCACTCACCTACTCACCTAGACACTCACCTACTCACTCACCTACTCACCTACTCACTCACCTACTCACTCACCTACTCACTCACCTACTCACCTACACACTCACCTACTCACTCACCTACTCACCTACTCACTCACCTACTCACCTAGACACTCACCTACTAACTCACCTACTCACCTACACACTCACCTACTCACTCACCTACTCTGTCACCTACTCACTCACTCACCTACTCACTCACCTACTCACCTACTCACCTACGCACTCACCTCTCATTGTCCACCTCTCATTGTCCACCCCTGGTTGTCCACCCCTGGTTGTCCCCCCCTGGCTGCCCAGGTTTACTACCACGGCCAGCCCATCAAAGTGAACGTCAACATCCAGAACGGCTCCAGCAAGCACGTGAAGAAGATCCGACTCACTGGTGGGTGGGGGGGGGGGTGAGGGTGGGGGGGGGTGGGGGGGGGTGGGGTGAGAGGGTGGGTGGGGGTGAGTGGGTGGGTGGGGGTGAGAGGGTGGGTGGGGGGGTCAAAGGGTGGGTGGGGTGAGAGGGTGGGTGGGGGTGAGTGGGTGGGTGGGGGTGAGAGGGTGAGTAGGGGTGAGTGGGTGGGTGGGGGTGAGAGGGTGAGTAGGGGTGAGTGGGTGGGTGGGGGTGAGAGGGTGAGTAGGGGTGAGTGGGTGGGTGGGGGTGAGAGGGTGGGTAGGGGTGAGTGGGTGGGTGGGGGTGAGAGGGTGAGTAGGGGTGAGTGGGTGGGGGGGGGTGTGAGGGTGGGTGGGGGTGAGAGGGTGGGTGGGGGTGAGTGGGTGGGTGGGGGTGAAAGGGTGGGTAGGGGTGAGTGGGTGGGTGGGGGTGAGAGGGTGAGTAGGGGTGAGTGGGTGGGTGGGGGTGAGTGGGTGGGTAGGGGTGAGTGGGTGGGTGGGGGTGAGAGGGTGGGTGGGGGTGAGAGGGTGAGTAGGGGTGAGAGGGTGGGTGGGGGTGAGAGGGTGGGTAGGGGTGAGTGGGTGGGTGGGGGTGAAAGGGTGGGTAGGGGTGAGTGGGTGGGTGGGGGTGAGTGGATGGGGGTGGTTGGGTGGGTGGGGGTGAGTGGGTGGGTGGGGGTGAGAGGGTGAGTAGGGGTGAGTGGGTGGGTGGGGGTGAAAGGGTGGGTAGGGGTGAGTTGGTGGGTTGGAGCGTGAGTGACTGCGTGGGTGAGTGAGAAGGTGATTGGGTGAGTGAGTGAGTGGTGAATGAGTGGTGAGTGAGTGGTGAGTGAAACGGTGAGTGGTGAGTGATTGAGTAGTGAGTGGTGCGTGAGTGGTGAGTGAGTAGGTGAGTGAGTAAGTGAGTGACTAAGTGAGTGGTGAGTGAGTGATGAGTGAGTGGTGAGTGAGTGAGTGGTTGGTTGAGTGAGTGAGTGGTGAGTGAGTGGGTGACTGAGTGGTGAGTGAGTGGTGAGTGAGTGAGTGAGTGGTGAGTGAGTGGTGAGTGAGTGGGTGAGTGGATGACTGAGTGGTGAGTGAGTGGGTGGGTGAGTGAGTGAGTGAGTGGTGAGTGAGTGAGTGGGTGAGTGGGTGGTGAGTGGGAGTGAGTGGTGGGTGAGTGAGTGGTGAGTGAGTGGGTGAGTGACTGAGTGAGTGGTGAATGAGTGAGTGAGTGGGTGAGTGAGTGAGTGACTGAGTGAGTGAGTGGGTGAATGGGTGAGTGAGTGAGTGGGTGAGTGAGTGGTGAGTAAGTGGTGAGTGAGAGAGTGGGTGAGTGGTTGACTGAGTGGTGAGTGAGTGAGTGGGTGAGTGAGTGGGTGAGTGGGTGACTGAGTGGTGAGTGAGTGAGTGGGTGGGTGGGTGAGTGAGTGAGTAGTGAGTGAGTGGTGAGTGAGTGAATGAGTGGGTGAGTAAGTGAGTGGGTGGGTGAGTGAGTGAGTGACTGAGTGAGTGGTGAGTGAGTGAGTGACTGAGTAAGTGGGTGAGTGACTGAGTGAGTGACTGAGTAAGTGAGTGAGTGGGTGAGTGACTGAGTGGGTGGGTGAGTGAGTGGGTGACTGAGTGAGTGAGTGAGTGGGTAAGTGACTGAGTGAGTGACTGAGTAAGTGAGTGACTGAGTAAGTGGTGAGTGAGTGGCGAGTGAGTGGTGAGTGAATGAGTGACTGACTGACTGAGTGAGTGACTGACTGACTGAGTGAGTGTTGAGTGAGTGAGTGGGTGAGTGAGTGGTGAGTGGGTGAGTGAGTGGGTGACTGAGTGAGTGAGTGGGTGAGTGACTGAGTGAGTGACTGAGTAAGTGAGTGAGTGAGTGACTGAGTAAGTGAGTGAGTGAGTGACTGAGTGAGTGAGTGGGTGAGTGACTGAGTGAGTGACTGAGTAAGTGAGTGAGTGAGTGAGTGACTGAGTGAGTGAGTGAGGGACTGAGTGAGTGAGTGAGTGGGTGAGTGGTGAGTTTCACGTTGTCTCTCTTCACAGTCGATCAAATCTCTGACGTGGTCCTCTACTGCCAGGACAAATACACCAAGGTGGTGTGCAACCTGGAGCCTGCGTACGTAGCAACACCATCATCACCATCACCATCATCACCATCATCATCAACATCCCATCATCATCATCACCATCATCATCATCACCATCATCACCATCATCATCAACATCACCATCATCAACATCACCATCACTACCATCACCATCATCACCATCATCATCATCATCACCATCACCATCATCACCATCATCATCATCATCACCATCATCACCATCACCATCATCACCATCACCATCATCACCATCATCATCAACATCACCATCATCAACATCACCATCACTACCATCATCACTACCATCACTACCATCACCACCAACACCACCATCATCATCAACATCACCATCATCAACATCACCATCACTACCATCCCCATCATCACCACCATCACCACCATCATCACCATCACCACCATCACCATCATCACCATCACCACCATCACCATCATCACCATCATCACCATCACACCATCACCACCATCACCATCATCCCCATCATCTCTACCATCATCATCATCACCATCATCACCATCACCATCATCACCATCATCTCTACCATCCTCATCATCACCATCATCACCATCACCCATCACACCATCACCATCATCATCACCACCATCACCACCATCACCATCATCACCATCATCACCATCACCACCATCACCACCATCACCATCATCCCCATCATCTCTACCATCATCATCATCACCATCCTCACCATCACCATCATCACCATCATCACCATCACCATCATCACCACCATCACCATCATCACCATCACCATCATCACCACCATCACCATCATCACCATCACCACCATCACCATCATCTCTACCATCACCACCATCACCACCATCACCATCACCACCATCACCATCATCTCTACCATCACCACCATCACCACCATCACCATCACCACCATCACCATCATCTCTACCATCACCACCATCACCACCATCACCATCACCACCATCACCATCATCTCTACCATCACCACCATCACCACCATCACCATCACCACCATCACCATCATCTCTACCATCACCACCATCACCACCATCACCACCATCTCTACCATCACCACTCCACGGTGTTGTTGTTACTGTTGTTGTGGTGGTTTTTGTGGTTGTTGTAGTGGTGGTTGTTGTAGTAGTGGTTGTCGTAGTGGTTGTTGTTGTGGTTGTTGTTGTAGTGGTGGGTGTAGTGGTTGTTGTCGTTGTGGTTGTTTTTGTTGTTGTAGTGGTTGTTGTTGTGGTGGTTGTTGTTGTAGTGGCGGTTGTGGTGGTGGTTGTTGTTGTGGTTGTTGTTGTTGTGTAGGAACGTAGTAGTTGTTGTTGTGGTTGTTGTTGTTGTGGTTGTTGTTGTAGTGGATGTTGTTGTTGTTGTTGTTGTGGTTGTTGTAGTGGTTGTTGTAGTGGTTGTTGTGGTAGTTGTTGTAGTGGTTGTTGTTGTTGTTGTGGTTGTTGTAGTGGTTGTTGTAGTTGTTGTGGTTGTTGTGGTTGTTGTGGTTGTTGTGGTGGTTGTTGTTGTTGTTGTTGTGGTTGTTGTTGTGGTTGTTGTTGTGGTTGTTGTAGTGGTTGTTGTTGTTGTGGTTGTTGTGTGGTTGTTGTTGTGGTTGTTGTAGTGGTTGTTGTTGTTGTGGTTGTTGTGGTTGTTGTAGTGGTTGTTGTTGTTGTGGTTGTTGTTGTTGTGTAGTGACGTAGTAGGTCCCAAGTCTAGCCTGAGCCAGGTCTACTCGCTCACTCCGCTACTCGCCAACAACCGCGAAAAACACGGCATCGCCCTCGACGGCAAACTCAAACACGAAGACACGAACCTGGCATCTACCACGCTGTGAGTCACTCACTCAGTTACTCACTCACTCAGTCACTCAGTCACTCAGTCACTCACTCAGTCACTCACTCACTCAGTCACTCACTCACTCAGTCACTCAGTCACTCAGTCACTCACTCAGTCACTCACTCACTCAGTCACTCACTGCGAAAAACACGGCATCGCCCTCGACGGCAAACTCAAACACGAAGACACCAACCTGGCATCCACCACGCTGTGAGTCACTCACTCAGTCACTCACTCACTCAGTCACCCAGTCAGTCACTCAGTACTCACTACTCATCAGTCACTCAGTCACTCAGTCACTCACTCAGTCACTCACTCACTCAGTCACTCACTCACTCAGTCACTCAGTCACTCAGTCACTCACTCAGTCACTCACTCACTCAGTCACTCACTGCGAAAAACACGGCATCGCCCTCGACGGCAAACTCAAACACGAAGACACCAACCTGGCATCCACCACGCTGTGAGTCACTCACTCAGTCACTCACTCACTCAGTCACCCAGTCAGTCACTCAGTTACTCACTCACTCAGTCACTCAGTCACTCAGTCACTCACTCAGTCACTCACTCACTCAGTCACTCACTCACTCAGTCACTCAGTCACTCAGTCACTCACTCAGTCACTCACTCACTCAGTCACTCACTGCGAAAAACACGGCATCGCCCTCGACGGCAAACTCAAACACGAAGACACCAACCCGGCATCCACCACGCTGTGAGTCACTCACTCAGTCACTCAGTCACTCACTCAGTCACTCAGTCAGTCACTCAGTTACTCACTCACTCAGTCACCCAGTCACTCAGTCACCCAGTCACTCACTCAGTCACTCACTCACTCAGTCACCCAGTCAGTCACTCAGTTACTCACTCACTCAGTCACCCAGTCACTCAGTCACCCAGTCACTCACTCAGTCACTCACTCACTCAGTCACCCAGTCAGTCACTCAGTTACTCACTCACTCAGTCACCCAGTCACTCAGTCACCCAGTCACTCACTCAGTCACTCACTCACTCAGTCACTCAGTCAGTCACTCAGTTACTCACTCACTCAGTCACCCAGTCACTCAGTCACCCAGTCACTCACTCAGTCACTCACTCACTCAGTCACCCAGTCAGTCACTCAGTTACTCACTCACTCAGTCACCCAGTCACTCAGTCACCCAGTCACTCACTCAGTCACTCACTCACTCAGTCACCCAGTCAGTCACTCAGTTACTCACTCACTCAGTCACCCAGTCACTCAGTCACCCAGTCACTCACTCAGTCACTCACTCACTCAGTCACCCAGTCAGTCACTCAGTTACTCACTCACTCAGTCACCCAGTCACTCAGTCACCCAGTCACTCACTCAGTCACTCACTCACTCAGTCACCCAGTCACTCAGTCACCCAGTCACTCACTCAGTCACTCACTCACTCAGTCACCCAGTCAGTCACTCAGTTACTCACTCACTCAGTCACCCAGTCACTCAGTCACCCAGTCACTCACTCAGTCACTCACTCACTCAGTCACCCAGTCAGTCACTCAGTTACTCACTCACTCAGTCACCCAGTCACTCAGTCACCAGTCACTCACTCAGTCACTCACTCACTCAGTCACCCAGTCAGTCACTCAGTTACTCACTCACTCAGTCACCCAGTCACTCAGTCACCCAGTCACTCACTCAGTCACTCACTCACTCAGTCACCCAGTCAGTCACTCAGTTACTCACTCACTCAGTCACCCAGTCACTCAGTCACCCAGTCACTCACTCAGTCACTCACTCACTCAGTCACCCAGTCCAGTCACTCAGTTACTCACTCACTCAGTCACCCAGTCACTCAGTCACCCAGTCAGTCACTCAGTTACTCACTCACTCAGTCACCCAGGTCACTCAGTCACCAGTCAACTCACTCAGTCACTCAGTCACTCAGTCACCCAGTCAGTCACTCAGTACTCACTCACTCAGTCACCCAGTCACTCAGTCACCCAGTCACTCACTCAGTCACTCACTCACTCAGTCACCCAGTCAGTCACTCAGTTACTCACTCACTCAGTCACCCAGTCACTCAGTCACCCAGTCACTCACTCAGTCACTCACTCACTCAGTCACTCAGTCAGTCACTCAGTTACTCACTCACTCAGTCACCCAGTCACTCAGTCACCCAGTCACTCACTCAGTCACTCACTCACTCAGTCACCCAGTCAGTCACTCAGTTACTCACTCACTCAGTCACCCAGTCACTCAGTCACCCAGTCACTCACTCAGTCACTCACTCACTCAGTCACCCAGTCAGTCACTCAGTTACTCACTCACTCAGTCACCCAGTCACTCAGTCACCCAGTCACTCACTCAGTCACTCACTCACTCAGTCACCCAGTCAGTCACTCAGTTACTCACTCACTCAGTCACCCAGTCACTCAGTCACCCAGTCACTCACTCAGTCACTCACTCACTCAGTCACCCAGTCACTCAGTCACCCAGTCACTCACTCAGTCACTCACTCATTCAGTCACCCAGTCAGTCACTCAGTTACTCACTCACTCAGTCACCCAGTCACTCAGTCACCCAGTCACTCACTCAGTCACTCACTCACTCAGTCACCCAGTCAGTCACTCAGTACTCACTCACTCAGTCACCCAGTCACTCAGTCACCCCAGTCACTCACTCAGTCACTCACTCACTCAGTCACCCAGTCAGTCACTCAGTTACTCACTCACTCAGTCACCCAGTCACTCAGTCACCCAGTCACTCACTCAGTCACTCACTCACTCAGTCACCCAGTCAGTCACTCAGTTACTCACTCACTCAGTCACCCAGTCACTCAGTCACCCAGTCACTCACTCAGTCACTCACTCACTCAGTCACCAGTCAGTCACTCAGTTACTCACTCACTCAGTCACCCAGTCACTCAGTCACCCCAGTCACTCACTCAGTCACTCACTCACTCAGTCACCCAGTCACTCAGTCACCCAGTCACTCACTCAGTCACTCACTCACTCAGTCACCCAGTCAGTCACTCAGTTACTCACTCACTCAGTCACCCAGTCACTCAGTCACCCAGTCACTCACTCAGTCACTCACTCACTCAGTCACCCAGTCAGTCACTCAGTTACTCACTCACTCAGTCACCCAGTCACTCAGTCACCCAGTCACTCACTCAGTCACTCACTCACTCAGTCACCCAGTCAGTCACTCAGTTACTCACTCACTCAGTCACCCAGTCACTCAGTCACCCAGTCACTCACTCAGTCACTCACTCACTCAGTCACCCAGTCAGTCACTCAGTTACTCACTCACTCAGTCACCCAGTCACTCAGTCACCCAGTCACTCACTCAGTCACTCACTCACTCAGTCACCCAGTCAGTCACTCAGTTACTCACTCACTCAGTCACCAGTCACTCAGTCACCCAGTCACTCACTCAGTCACTCACTCACTCAGTCACCCAGTCAGTCACTCAGTTACTCACTCACTCAGTCACTCAGTCACTCACTCAGTCACTCACTCAGTCACTCAGTCACTCACTCAGTCACTCACTCACTCAGTCACCCAGTCAGTCACTCAGTTACTCACTCACTCAGTCACCCAGTCACTCAGTCACCCAGTCACTCACTCAGTCACTCACTCACTCAGTCACCCAGTCAGTCACTCAGTAACTCACTCACTCAGTCACTCAGTCACTCAGTCACTCACTCAGTCACTCACTCACTCAGTCACCCAGTCAGTCACTCAGTTACTCACTCACTCAGTCACCCAGTCACTCAGTCACCCAGTCACTCACTCAGTCACTCACTCACTCAGTCACCCAGTCAGTCACTCAGTCACTCAGTCACTCAGTCACTCACTCAGTCACTCACTCACTCAGTCACTCACTGCGAAAAACACGGCATCGCCCTCGACGGCAAACTCTAACACGAAGACACCAACCTGGCATCTACCACGCTGTGAGTCACTCACTCAGTCACTCACTCACTCAGTCACCCAGTCAGTCACTCAGTTACTCACTCACTCAGTCACTCAGTCACTCAGTCACTCACTCAGTCACTCACTCACTCAGTCACCCAGTCAGTCACTCAGTTACTCACTCACTCAGTCACCCAGTCACTCAGTCACCCAGTCACTCACTCAGTCACTCACTCACTCAGTCACCCAGTCAGTCACTCAGTTACTCACTCACTCAGTCACCCAGTAACTCAGTCACCCAGTCACTCACTCAGTCACTCACTCACTCAGTCACCCAGTCAGTCACTCAGTTACTCACTCACTCAGTCACCCAGTCACTCAGTCACCCAGTCACTCACTCAGTCACTCACTCACTCAGTCACCCAGTCAGTCACTCAGTTACTCACTCACTCAGTCACCCAGTCACTCAGTCACCCAGTCACTCACTCAGTCACTCACTCACTCAGTCACCCAGTCAGTCACTCAGTTACTCACTCACTCAGTCACCCAGTCACTCAGTCACCCAGTCACTCACTCAGTCACTCACTCACTCAGTCACCCAGTCAGTCACTCAGTTACTCACTCACTCAGTCACTCAGTCACTCAGTCACTCACTCAGTCACTCACTCACTCAGTCACCCAGTCAGTCACTCAGTTACTCACTCACTCAGTCACCCAGTCACTCAGTCACCCAGTCACTCACTCAGTCACTCACTCACTCAGTCACCCAGTCAGTCACTCAGTTACTCACTCACTCAGTCACTCAGTCACTCACTCAGTCACTCAGTCACTCACTCACTCAGTCACTCACTGCGAAAAACACGGCATCGCCCTCGACGGCAAACTCAAACACGAAGACACGAACCTGGCATCTACCACGCTGTGAGTCACTCACTCAGTCACTCACTCAGTCACCCAGTCACTCACTCAGTCACTCACTCAGTCAGTCACTCACTCAGTCAGTCACTCACCCACTCACTCACCCACTCAGTCAGTCATTCACTCAGTCACTCAGTCAGTCACTCACTCACTCATTGACTCAGTCACTCAGTCACTCACTCACTCAGTCACTCA